GGCGCGAGCCGGCCGGTTGGCGGCGCTGCGCGTGGCGCGGCGCCGCAACGCTCGAGGCCCGACGCGGCGACGGCTTTGCCCGCCTCGCCCGCCTCGGCCAGCAGGGCGTAGCGCGCGCTCGCGTTGAACAGGAGAGTCCGCACGTCGAACCGCGCCGCCCGCTCCTCCAGCAGCAGCTCGCGCAGCCCGGCGCCAAAAACCGCTTCCCTTGTCGGAATGCATCGACACGCCAGCCCGCACGCGGCAAGGCGCAAGCGCTCAGCGCGGCGCAGCTCGGCGCAACTGTGCGTCGAGGCGACGTCGGGCCGCGGAGCGAGGAGTTGCCGCAGCAGCGCCTCGGCCGCGCCGCCGTCCGCCGTTGGCGCCACGAGCGGGAGTGGCACTCCCACCGACTCGTCCGCCCATCCGGTGCGGACGTGCAGCGCGACGACGTGGCTCGCGTCGCCCGCCCTCTCCAGGTAGGGCAGCAGCGCCGCCCGCAGCGCCGCCCGCGGCCGGCTCATGAGCAGGTGCAGCAGGCAGCGCGTCGCCCGCCCCGCGCGCGTCGGCCGCCCCATCCCCGCCGCCGCCGACCAGAGCGACGCCTCCGGCCGCGCCGCCTCTGCCCCGCGCGCCGCCGCCGCGCCGCCCTGCAGCCGCCGCAGCCGCCAATCGAGCGCCGCCGCCGCGAACTTTTCTGGCGGCAGCTCCTCCGCCAGCGCGTCGAGCGTCGGCGGTGTGCCGCGGTCTTCTCCAGCCGCGGCCCGCGTCGTGACGCACAGCGGGAGCAGCCCCGAGGCCGTCCGATCGCCAAACGCAAGCCGGACCGCCGCCTCGGAGCCGTCGAGCAGCCGCCACAGCGCCGCACACGGCGCGCTCGCGTTCCAGCGCACCTGCTGCGCTGCGCCGCGGCCGTGGCGCGCGTGCAGCCGGTTGCGGGCGTGTTCCGACCACGCCCAGTCCACGTGCCCCGGCCCGCGGAAGAAGCGCGCGATGTCGAAGCGAGGTCGCGCAGCGCCCGCGCGGTGGTCGAGCCCGGTCGCCCAGTCGATGAAGACGGCGCGCCTGCTCAGTTGAATCGCAATGAAAGGAGCACAGGAGCAGAGAGGCCCGCCGCTGCAAAAGAGCACCACGCATGCCAACCACGAGCGTGCGTGGCGGCTTTGTGGTCTATACTTCAAATCACCGTGCTTTGTGGTCTATAGTTCAAATCATCACGCTGCAAAGAGCGCTACGCATGCCAACCACGATGGGGCGCGCCTGCTGGCCGCCGCCAAGGCCGCCCATACCGCGTAGTCTCCGAAGTGGTTGCCCACGCCGCTCTGCCCCTTCAGGTTCTGCGACACGTCGACGACCAGCGTCCGGTCGAGCGTGGCGTAAGACTCGACGAGCGCGCCGACGACGTGGGCGACTGCCGCGTTGTGCAAGCAGGTGGCGTTGAAGCGGGCGCGGTCCCGCTGCACGAGCGGCGAGCGGTCGAACTGGAGTTGCATCGATTGTGAGCTGGTGATTGCAGCTGCTGGGACAGCGTCAGCACAGCAGCGATTGCAGCGTCAGGGTTACTCCACGACGCGCTCGTCGTCGGCGGCTTCTTTCTAACCTCATCGAGCTCCTCACATCCGGGCCCACACAAGGGGTAGCACAAGAAATCTACAGGGCACATATGCTGATTTCTTCCTGCCGGGCCCGGGTCGGTCGGTCGGTCCTAGGATTCGAGGTTTTTAGGGGGTAGGGTATGGTAGGGTCAGGGCCCTGGCACCGCGACCATACCCCCCCCACCCGCACACACGCATGCTCCACGCACGCGCAGCAAGCGAGACCAAGAGGCCGTGGAAAACGCTTAAAATGGCACAGATTTACGATTTTCCGCGCGCTGCGCGCGCCGAGCACGGCCACGGCGCCAAAAAAGTGCTTGCCGGAGTCTGGCCGGAGTCCGTTTTCAGTGGACGGACCCGAAAAAATTTCTTCGCCCGCGCTGGCGCGCGGGCGGTCGGTCGGTCCCCTATGTGCCACGGTTTTTTTGCCGTGCATCCCTGTGGCCCACAGCGGGTTTGGGGGAATATTCAGGAAAGCAAGAAGTTAAAGAAAACAATTTTTTATTCACACAGCAGACAGGGGTCCCGTACCATGTGGAATCGGCCCTCATTCACACGACGTTGAAGTGGAAAACGATGGCGTCGACAAACAGCTGGCAGACGAACCGGCCCTCATTCACGTTGACAAAGTTGGACGTAGCCGCCGAGACGTAGCCGGAGTAGTGGACGCAAGGATGTCCCTCCCACGCCGTCTCGCCGTCCGTGCAGTGGCGGTGCTCCTCCACCTTGAAGACCGAGATCCCCCACGCCTGACTGCTCTGGTCGCCAGCGCCGCACGAGGACGTCGGCTCGAGCAGCGCGATGTTCTTGTGGTCCCACGCACTCGAGACCAGCGCGTCCGCCTCAGCCGCGTCGCCCTCGATGGTCTTCGCGAGGTGGTGAGGGAAATCGGTGAACTTGACCGCCGTCTGCGGGTAGTAGTTGAAGGCGATGTCGGCCATGAAGTGGGCCGCGGTGTCGCCCTCCGTCTCGCCTTTTCCGACGTCGCGCTCCTTGATCACGACGTTGAGGTTCGAGCAGAACCCAGAGGTGGCGATGAGCCAGGCGGGGTCGTCGACCACGTCGGGCACGGGAGGAGAGGGCTTGGGCGCGAAGGCGAGGCCGCGAGCGGCTGGGTTGATGTCGTCGACGGTTTCTGCCTGCGCACTCGTGTGGTGCGTGGAAGTTCAAGCCTGCATGTGAGTAAGTGCGGCTGGGCGGAGCGACGCACCGGCAGGGCAGACGTCGACAGAGCGACGAGCAGAAGCGAGGCAATCTTCAGCATCCAGTCCAAGATGTACCCCGCGGAGATGTACCCCGCGGCCAAAACGCCGTTTTTCAGAAGAATTCTTACAGGGAAACCTTTCGCCGTGTGTGTGTGTGTGTGTGTGTGTGTGTGTACTCACTGTGTGTGTGTGTGTGTGTGTGTGTGTGTGTGTGTGTGTGTGTGTGTGTGTGTGTGTGTGTGTGTGTGTGTGTGTGTGAAAGCGCCGTCGCAACTGCCATGTCGGCCCTTGTAGGCTGGTGCTCTCGCCCCGCTGGCGGCGCGGACCGGTGCCGCGGCTCCGAGCCCTCCTGTGGGCCCGCGGCGGCTCAGCACCCGACGCCGCCGACTGCAGCACAGCGTACGACTCCTTGATCAGCATCGCGACGGGCACGACGGCCACGGTCCGGCGCAGCGCGCCCCTGCGCTTCTTGACGTCGTGCATCGGCCCGTGCAGCACCGGCTTCGATCCGAACACCTTCCTGTAGTAGCGCGCGACGGCTGGCTGCGACGGCGCCGCGTGCTCCGCCGGTAGCAGACTCAGAGCAGCCGCGCTCTGAGTCCACATCTTGTCCTGCCAGGCGGCGATGCACCACTCGGTGAAGCGGTGCGAGACGGACTTGTTGCGCGCCCAGGCGGGCGGCGGCGACCACTTGTCGCCCAGCTCGTAGAATCGGGACTCCTCTGCCGCCACCTCGGCCGCCCAGCCCTGCAGCTCGCGCCGATCACGCGTCGAGGCAAGTACCAGCGCGAGGAGCTGGACCTCGGCGTCCGAGGGCGGCGCATGCGACTCGGAGTGGAAGAACTCGTCGATGCGGCGTGCTGGCGGCGCGGCGGCAGCCAGCGCGAGCGTCGGCGGCGGCGTCGCGGGCGAGGCGAGAGGCCCTGCAGCCGCGTCGACGCCATCTCGAGCCGCATTGGGGGTGATCAGAGGACCACCTGCGTTGAACGTCGAATAGAGTCATCATCGTGGGTGCTTCGGGTCACTACTATCTCTGGCGGCATGGATGGGCTACCAAGCGCACCGTCAGGGCCCAGGGTAGCAGGCACAGGCTCTGGTGAGGTTCCTGCGCCGCGGGAGCGCACGGCGATGACGCGAGAGTGTGGCTGTGCTGGCCTGGGACGCGCGCGCAGCGCCCCGCGAGCGATTGTGCGCGCTGGCCATGGGTCACGCCCGATCTCTCAGCGGGTGGGACCTGGCCGGGCCGTGCTGTGAGGCGCGGTGCAGGGCTCCAAGTGCTGTGACAGTTGCCTGGCCAAGAATGCAGTCCCAACCAGAGACTTGTAGCGCTACAAGTCTGGCCGAAACGGCCTTCACACCCGCTGGCGGGCAGCCGGCGCCGGCGGGGACGCTGGCCGCGAAGCCGGGGCGCGCGGGCGGGCTCGGGCGGGCGCAGGGGCGCAAAGCATACCGGTCGGCGAGGCCATCTTGCGACGGCTACCGGTTCGCACCGATTGCATTCTACCGTGACGCCGTCGGCGCTCGCCTATACCGGCTAGTGTGGAGCTCTCAGTGTGGTTGCGTGTTGTACTAGTGATGCTGCACTAGGCGGCCCGTTTTTAGCAAAAAGCAGATACCACATCGCGTGTGGTCGTCGAAAAACCGCATCTTCGCCCGTCTGGGAGTGGGACCTCTTCGTACGGCTCCAAAAACCGCTCCTTAACGACGACTACGCGGCCCGGCGGTCGATCTGCGCCTTCTCAGCGGTGGAGGGGATGTGGGCGGTACGTGCAAACCGCGTGGTGCTGCGATGGCTTGACGAGTGCGACTCCCAGCGTCGACTTTTCGACCCCACGGAGCCTCTGCTGCTCCGGCAGACCACCCGGCCGAACTTCAGAGTCGCGGTGCTCCTCAAATACCGCTCAAACGCCCACGATGTTGTGGAGGGGACATATGCTGATGATCCTGGCCCGATTGGTTCGCTCAGAAAGCTTCTGGGCGGTCGTTAAGGTTCGCTCCCCGCACACCGGCCCGGAAGTGTGTATGGTATCCTAGAACGGTGCCGACGGGACGCGGCTCGAACGCCCGCACGTACTTGGAGCACTTGGAAAGAAGTCGGCACGTGAAAAAGTTTTCTTTTATTTTTCGAGGCAAACTCGTGCGGCGCGCCAGCAGGTCCCACCTGCCAGCCTCACCGTCCCCGTCCTGACCGAGTTGAAAACGAGGAAGCGAATCGCCCGACATGTCGCGGCAGACGCAGTCCCTGCTGCAGGAGCAGGACCAGCAGCTCTCCGTTCTCGGCCAGGGCGTCAAGCGTGTCAAGGCGCTCGCCGGCGACATGCGGACGGAGTTGCAGGCAAGTGGCAGCCTCGCGCGTCGGCCACCGCGCGGCAGCGGATTCCCACGTGACCTCTGCACACGCTGGTGGTGGCAGGACACACCTCATCTCGCAGCGCCCGCGCTGGTCCTGACGCCGCCGCCGCCGGCGTTCACAGGAGCAGACGGTGATCCTCGAGAACCTGGAGGACGACATCGACAGCGCGGACTCGTCGATGAAGTCGATGCGCAGCCGCATGAACGCGCTCTACGCGCAGACCGCCTCCTCCGAGCGAGCTCAGTGGAGCATCATCCTGTGTTTGCTTGGTGAGCGCTCTGCTGCCGCCCTCGCCATGCGCCCGCCCTGCCTGCCTGCGCGCATTCTGCTGCGCCGCCCGGCGGTTGACGCAATGGCCACCATCGCATGGCGACACCTCTCAGTGTGAGGACCTCACAGCGTCCCGTGCCGGCACAGTGTCGCCGCGCCATACGCAGCGCCATAGCCACAACGCCACAGCAGCCACCGCGCCACAGCAGCCGCCGCGCACGCAACGCGACGCTCCTCTCTCGCTCGCTCTCCCGCGCCCTCCTCCAGCACCGCCGAGAGGCCCAGACCCCTCCGCCAACCGCCAACCGCTCCTCTGCCCTTCTCGCAGGCGTCCTCGCCGTCCTCACTCTCCTCGTCATGTCTTGACGGCCGCAGCGCATCCCGCTGCAGGCGCGTCACTCGCCGCCCGGGTTGTTTTGCTATTCTGTCGCGCGCCCCGGCCAAGGCAGACGTCGGTGTGCGCCGTGCTGGAGGCCAGGGAGAGTTGTTAGCGCAAAAAGCGAATGGTGGCCGGTCGTGGCTGCTGGCTCCTCCCGGGGGACCCGACTGTCGACGAGGAGAAGTGATCTGTGTGTGTGATCTGTCGAGATCAAAGCGTACTGTAGTCGTAAGTCCTTTTCAGTATAAATTCGAGCCGCCCAGGCTTCTAGGTACACCAGCTCCGCGCGCGAGCTCGCGATTCGGGCCTTGGAGACCACGAGGAAGACTTCGTCTGCTCGACGTGCTAGAGGACGGAGAGTCCCGACGCTCGCTGAGTCCGCTGGAACTGGGGTCTACACACCTTTCGTGGCCGCGTCCCGCGGTGGAGGACGCGACCCACTTCGCCACAGACGGTCCCGCGCCTCGCCGCTATGAAACGGGCACACGCCCCGCACCGTCCGCTGTGTGCCCGTCTTTGTCCGGAGTGAAAAGCCCAACGCGCTCGTCGGTGACGGTGTCCCTGAACCTGCGCCGCGCTCGGCGAACCTCGACAGCGCCTTCGGTGGCATGCAGCTCTTTGCGACAGAAGCCTGGAGAGCAGCTCCTCTGCTGCTCACACGCTCTGCACAGTTGGCACAGCCTACTGTGCGGCTGCCACAGCTGTCTCAGCGATGGGCTCGCCCTCACTGGCCCTCAGTCACTTGTGCTGCGGCTTGTGTGAGCGACACTGCTCGGCGACTGCCGGCACACTGTGAGACCGTGGGTGTGAGGTAAAAGCACGCTACCAGCGCACTTGGTCACACATCACTCATCAGCCCTGAGGTCAGATTCTTCTCCTCTGTTGATGGTAACACTTGTCTACTGGCTGGAGCCGAGCAGGAGGGCCTGGCGCACAACCCAGCTGAGGGTCCTTCCCCTTAATGGATAATCGCGTAATAATTACTCCAAGAGTGCTCCAAGTGTGTAGCGCGCGTAATCCGTAAATTCCACCGCACTGTTTTGGGTTTATTGGGAGATGGGACGGTTCTCGGAAACTAAGGACGCCGGGGAGAGAGTTCAATAATAGAGTACCTTGCACGTGCGCGCGCCACTCTTCTCACCAGTCCAGTCCGTCCTCTTCCTCCGGCTCCGCCTCGGACCGCCTCCGGCCAGGCACGTTCACGTGCCCCCACGGGCAGTGTCTGCAGCCGTTCCCGCAGCAGGGGCGCCGCTTGAGGTACGCCTGGGTGAAGACGCTGTAGCCGGTGTCCGGGTCGATGTACGTGTCGCGAGGCGGCTGGCTGCGCACCGCAAGGCGGTGGAGCGCCTATGCACAGCTGCAGGCGTGAAGAGACGCCGTTCACAGCAGCGCGCTCTCCGCGAAGCGGCGGCCTTGGCCATCGCCAGCGGCAGCGAGCTCTTCGCGGCGCGAGCCCGCTCGTCGGCCGGCAAGTCCGCCTATTCACAGCGAGAGGTGTGAAGGAGCACTGCGGCACGCACGCACAAGCCCATCCGCCGGCAAGCCCAACCTCCGTCAGCGGCTGCTCCGCCGCCCACCGCTCCTGCTGCCGCCTCCGCACCTCCAGCCGCGCCTCCTCTCCGCCCCCGCCGCCGGCTCCTTGCGCATCGGCGCCGCTCGCGGCTACGCCTCCGCCTCCGCCACCGGCTAGCGGAGCGCAAAAGAGGCTGTGGTGGGCGTCGAGGGTCCTCGCGCCGTCGTACCCGCCGTACACGACAGCCAACTCCCCTACCACCACGACGGAGTGGCGGCAGCGCTGCAGCGGGAAGGTGCCCCGCCAGTCGAGCCGGCTCCACGTGCGGCGCGCGCCGCCGAGCGGCGAGAGAACCCACGCGTCGGCCACCACGCCCGCCGGCCCTCCACCCCGCCCGCCGTCCTGCCCGCCGACCACGACCAGCGAAGCCGATGGCCCACTGCCGGCGAGGGCGGCGGCGTGCGAGGAGCGCGGCGGCGGCCACGCACCGTCCGCCGCCGTCGCCGCCGCGCCAAAGCGCGCCCACCGCCACCGCGCGGGCTCGCCGCCGGAGCAGTCGAGGCTCCAGAGCTCGTCGGACGAGCCCCGCCCCGTCGAGCCCCCAAAGACGAGCAATCGCTCGTCGCCGCCGCCCGCGTCCCACAGCACTGCGGCGTGGTCGGTGCGCGGGCTCGGCCCGTCGCAGGCGGTGGCGGCGCGGTGCCAGCGCCAGACGTCCATGTCGAGGCACCAGACGTCGTCGAAGCGCTTGCTGCCGTCCCAGCCGCCGTAGAGCACCGCCAGGTGACGCGCCGGCGAGTAGGCGAGAGTCGGGTTCCTAGACACTTCCTAGACACTTCCTAGACACTTCCTAGACACTTCCTAGACAACGGCGAGGGTCGGGTTCCCCCGCGGCGGCGGCGGCGCGTTGTGCGTGGAGCAGTGCGTCCAGCAGCGCGTCTCGAGGTGGAGCAGCTCGGGGTGCGCCAGCGGTACGTCACCTCCGGCCGACCAGCCGCCAAAGACGAGCAGGTGGCCGCCGCACGCGGCGGCGGCGTGGTTGGAGCGCGCGGTGGGCACGTCTTCGTTGGCGGTGGCGCCGCACTGCCACGCCTCCCACGAGGGCGTGGGGCACGAGCAGGCGGCCCAGCCGCTCGGCGGCGCGCCGAGCGACCAAACGTCCTTTAGCCCGCGTCGCTCGCGCGGCTCGTCCACCGCCGCCTCGCCGCCAAAGACAATCAGCCGGCCGTCGTCGGTATGCACCAGCGACGCGGCGCTCCGCACCGCCGGGGCTGAGGCCACGGCGGGCGCGGGCGGGGGCGGGGAGAGCGCGCTCGGCGGCGGCGCAAGCATGGAGGTCGGCGGCATGGCCGGCAGAGACGAGGGGGCGAGCGTCGGCAAAGACGATTCGGGCATGGCGGTCGGCGATGCGGGCGCGGGCGCGGCGACCCCAGCCTCCAAGGGCTGGAGGGGCTCGAACCGCCACTTGTACGGCGGGAGCAGCGCGGGGGGTCCGTCCGCCTCCGGCTCCGCCACCAGCCGCATCGCACCAGCAGTCGCCGAGGCGACGAGTGCGGGCGGCAGCGCGGCGGGGTGGAGCAGCGCGGCGAGAGTCTCGACGCCGTCCACCACGCGTGGGCCCGGGCGTGAAAAGGCGGCGTGGTCGACGACAAACAGCCGCGGCGGCCGCGCGCGGAGCGCCGGCAGCCGCCACACCGCGGGGCGCGAGAGCAGGTGCTGTTCGGCCTAAGAAGTGTCGAAGAAGTGTCTAGGAAGTGTCTAGGAAGTGTCTAGGAAGTGTCTGCGAGAGCAGGTGCTGATCGGCCTCGGCCGCGGCGCCGGCGGCGGTGCGGCCACAGCAGCAGAGCACCACCGCCTCCGCGCCGCATCCTTCGACCTCGGCCCAACTCACCAGCCGCGCCGCGCCACCCGGCTCGTCCCCCAGAGCGTCGCGGGCGCCCGCGCGCGCCCGCTGGTCCGGGAGCCACTGGCCCGACGCCACCAGGGGGAAGAGGCTCTCCAGACCCAACAGGCGCGGCCTCGCAGCCTCCTCCCCGGCGCTGGCCAGCACCGCGCGCTCCACGGCCGCGAGCCGCGCCTCAAGCCGCGCCGCCGTCGCCTCGGCCGCCGCCTCCTCGCCGAGGGCCGCGCCAAGCCGCCGCACGACGCCGAGGACGCCCGCCACCGTCACGGGGCGGAGAGTGAGTGCGCGCTCCGGCCCGAGCCCCGCCGCCCGCAACGCCGCATGGACCGAGCCTTCGGCGGCGTCGCACGCGGCGCACGTGTCCTGCGTCAGGACCAGCGCGGGCCGCGCCGCCGCCAGCCACGCCACATCGACGCTGTGCGCCGCCCCCACGCCCGCCTCGCGCGCCGCACGCACCGCCGCATCTACCTCGGCGCCACTCCTCCCGCCGCGCGTCGCCACCGCGCTGCGCGTCACCACGCGCTTGCCCGCCACCACCGCCGCCGGCCAGTCGCAATGCTCGCTCACCCCGACGATCCGCGCCGCCGCGCCCGCCTCGCCCAGCACCGCCGCCACCATCTCGGTGGCCGACGGCAGGAGCGACACGACGCGCTGGCCGCGCCGGGCGGCCGCGACGATGGCGGGGGCGAGGCGCGCGTCGCTCCCCAAGTGGAAGTGGCAGTAGGTGGCGAGGGTGCGCCCGCCGCCGCCGTCGAGGCCGCCGCCCCCCGCCATCGCGCCCTCGGGCGCAGCCAGCGCGCCGGGCGCCTACAACACAACGCCAGTATGGGATGGGGGATGGGGGGGCAAGGGGAGGCTGGAGCCGGTGCCGCTGCGCCTGCGGAGTGGGCTTAGGGCGGCACACGGCCGGTGTGCGGGTGTGGTGTGCGGGGAGCGATGTGGTGTGGTGTGGTGTGCCTCGGGCGGGTGTGGTGTGGGCCCAAGCTGTCAGGCGACCTCCACAACTGCGGCATCTCGGTAGCGGACGCACCTCCATCTGCACGCTGAAGGCGGGGTGTTCGACGCCCCGCAGCCCCGCGCCGCCGCCGGTCCTGGCGTCGACGATCACCGCGGGCAGGCCGTCGGCGGTCGCCTCGCTGAAGTGGTACTGCTGGGCGCGGAAGCGGCTCCCCTCGGGCAAGCGCAGCAGCGACGCGGCGGCGGGCAGCAGCGCCGCGTGGCAGTAGCCCATTGTAAGGCGCGCCGTCATGCTCACGTCGAACGGAAGCACGCCGCACATCGCGTGCTCCAGCCCCCCGCCCTCCGCCCCGCCCTCCGCCCCGCCCTCCGCCCCGCCCTCCGCCCCGCCCTCGCCAGACTCGCCTGCGCCGCCTGCGCCGCCTGCGCCCCCGCCAGCGCCGCCTCCGCCACAAGCGAGGCGCACAACCTCGCCAGCAGCGGCGACATCGGCAGGGCGGCGCAGCAGCCGCCGCGCGAGGTACATGAGGCCGCCGCACTCGGCCCACACCAGGCCGCCGCCCTCGCAGAAGGCGCGCACCGCCGAACGCATCCGCCCGTTGGCGGCGAGGGCGGGCGCGTGCAGCTCGGGGTAGCCTCCGCCGAGGTACAGCGCATCACAGCCGTCGGGCAGCGAAGCGTCGGCGAGGGGCGAGAACCACTGCAGCGTCGCGCCTACTCCCACTGCACCCTCTGCGCCTCCTGCCACGAGGGTCTCTTCTACCACTGCAGCGTCGCGCCGGCCCGCTCGAGCAGCCGCAGGCTCTCGTGGTAGTAGAAGCAGAAGGCCGCGTCGCGCGCGACCGCCACGCGCACCGGCGGCAGCGGTGCCGACGCCGGCGCCGCCGGCAGCGGCATCGCTGCCGGCGGCGGTGCCGGCGGCGGCTCGGCAGTGGCGGCCACCCACCTGAGCTGCTCCAAGTCGACATGTTCCGAGAAGAGTCGGAGCAACGCCGCCAGTCGCGCGCCGCCGGTCGCGCCCGCGGCGTCGGCTGCGCCGTCGCCGTCGCCAGCTGCGCCGTCACCGTCGCCAGCTGCGCCGTCGCCGTCGCCAGCTGCGCCGTCGCCGTCGCCCGCTGCGCCGTCGCCGTCGCCGGCTGCTTTGCCGGTGGCGGAGTTGCCGGTGGCGGAGGCGGCCGCCGCGGCGGCGACGGCGGCGGCGGGTGGCAGCAGCCCCAAAAGCCGCTCGGGAAGCTGGAGTCGCTTGTCTGGTGGCAGCCGAGCACTCTCACTGCGGCCGTGCCCGGGTGGCTGCCCATTGCCTGCGCGATCCAGGTGCCGTGTGCGGCGCCGGCGACGCGGTTGAAGACGGTTGCGGCCAGCACCACCTCGGGATCGAAGCTCTGGTAGCCGTGCACCATCGCCGCGGCGGAGCGTGCCAGGTTCCACGCGTCCACGACCAGCAGCACGGGCGCGCGCAGCCACTTGGCCACCTGCGCCGTCGAGCCGTCGTCGGTGGCGCCCTCGCGGCCGTCGTGCAAACCCATGCAGCCCTCGACGATGGCGATGTCGGCGTCGCTGGCGGCGACGGCGGCGTGGAAGGCGGCGAGGCAGCCGTTGCGACCCAGCATCCACCTGCGAACGGCGGGAAAATGGTGTGTCTGCTGCGGTCACGATCTGGGAGGTGCTGCAGACACACCCGTCGAGGTTGATGGACGGACGGCCGCATGCAGCCGCGTGCTGCATCCCGTCCAGAAAATCTGGACCGACTTTGAAGGGCTGCACCCGGCATCCCTGTGCGTGCAGTGCATGCATCAGCCCGACGGCGACCGTGGTCTTGCCGACACCGCTGGAGGTGCCGGCGACGACGATCGTCGGCACGTTCGGCGGCATGCCGGCGACAGGACGCAAGAGCTACGACGGACAGCTATACCTGGAGACCTGGAGGGTGGTGAGGGTGGCCGTGCCTCCTGCGAGGGCGGCGAGGCACTTAGCTCCGTGCCGGCACCCGCCACAGGCAAGCTCATTCACAACCTGCTCTGCGATTGCCTGTGAAGAACGACCGAGGGTCGCACGATCACGCTGCGGCGGGCGCGCTGCAGCCGCACGTCTACCTTCGTCATAGTGCCACGACGTGCGGCCTAGAATTAGCACACGTGCCTCTGTTCGCTAACACTCACACATTGAATTGTCACCGCCAGTGAGTGCGAGATAGGGCTGGCCGCTGGCGGCTAGCCCGTGAGGAGGGCGACCATAGACACCTCACTAACCCCACACACGGTCTCGTCCGTGCCTCGCCGGCCGGCGAGATTGCTAGAGGACGAGCAAGCCTGCTCTAGCCTCGCATATTACCTCCTGTCGTCTGTTGTGATGTTGTGCCCTTGTTTGTTTCTCTTGGCACCTTGGAGTGCTGGGGGGGGCGACAGGAGGAATGTGGCCCTGAGTTATGTGTACGCCAACTCAGGGTGTGTGGCAGCCAGCTGGCTGTGTGTCTTGTGAGCTTGTTTGTGTCTGTGTGTCGTTCGTGCGTGTCGTCATCATCTGTCTCGCGTCCACCCATACCGCGTTGGTGTCCAGTCCGAGCCTGGCTGTTCTTCACCTTCCTACCTACCTACCTACCTCACGCGACAGGCGAGGCGCGGGCGACGGCTTCCTCAGAAGCCGTCGCCCGCACCACAGGAGCAGTCACACCACTCCCACTCCGGCGCGCCCACCCCAACTCCCCACCCCGACATCCCCACCCCACCCGTCGGATGAGATCGGGATCGGGCTACAAGCCCTAACCCTGGGTCGCTATGGCTCCCCTGCATTCTGCAACAATGGATCTCAAGGATAGTTCGGAGAAAACAAGAGAAAACTACCGTTTGTTTTACTTTTATCGATGAGCCGAAACTGGCAGAGACCAGAGTAGCCTACTGGTTTGTCTGCATGACTGCATGTGCATCTCTCGACGAGCACGCCGTCGGCGGATCCACGCGCGCTCGAGGATAAAAACATGACGGGCTTGTTTGGGGAGTAGACCTATGGTACTCGAAACCACACATTTGCACTCTCAGAACGTCCGACCGGCCGCCTTCACGACCCCTGCTCACTGCTCAAGCGCCCACGCCTCGATCTTCTTGGGCAGCAGCTGGTTCGACAGGTCCTCCCCGTGGCCCAGGCAGCCGTCCTCGCCCTTGCCCCAGGTAAACACGGCGCCGTCGGCGGTGATGGCGAGGCTGTGCATGGCCTCAGCCGAGACAGCGACGACGCGCTGCCCTGCAAAGGCCTCGATCTTCTTGGGCAGCAGCTGGTTCTGCGCGTCGCCATGGCCTAACCGGCCAGAGGCTCCATAGCCCCAGCTCCAGACGGCGCCGTCTGCGGCGAGGGCGAGGCTGTGGAAGTTTCCCGCCGACACAGCGACGACGCGCTGCCCCCCTAACGCCTCGACCTTCTTGGGCAGCAGTTGGCGCTGCTCGTCACCGTGGCCCAGCCGGCCATCACCTCCAAGGCCCCAGCTCCAGACAACGCCGCCGACGGTGAGGGCGAGGCTGTGGTAGAGTCCAGCCGACACAGCGACGATGCGCTGGCCAGCCAAGGCCTCGATCTTCTTCGGCAGCAGCTGGATCTGCTCGTCGCCGTGGCCCAGCTGGCCAAGGGCTCCATGGCCCCAGGTAAAGACGGCGCCGTCGGCGGCGAGGGCGAGGCTGTGGTTGCCTCCCGCCGAGACAGCGACGACGCGCTGACCAGCAAAGGCCTCGACCTGCTTGGGCAGCAGCTGGTTCTGCTGGTTGCCGTGGCCCAACTGGCCAAAGTAGCTGTTGCCCCAGCTCCAGACAGCTCCGTCGGCGGTGATTGCGAAGCTGTGGCCCTGGCCAGCCGACACAGCGATGACGCGCCGCCGAGCAAAGGCCTCGACCTTCTTCGGTTGCCACTGGTGCTGGTCGTCGCCGTGGCCCAGGCGGCCAGAGCTTCCATAGCCCCAGCTCCAGACGCCGTCGGCGGTCATGGCAAGGTTGTGGTGGGCTCCAGCCGACACGCTCACGACACGCTCACCCAGCGATGGGAGGCAGGTCGGCGTGTTGAGCCGCGTCACGCCCTCGCCGTGGCCGAGTACCCCTGGGCTGAGCCACAGCGCAGAGCCGCACGACGAGAGCCGCCCCTCGCCGACGATGAAGACGCTGTGCTGATAGCCTGCGGACGCCCTCGCCGGCGGGTTGGACTCGCGAAGCAGCGCAGAATAGCACAGCCACCGCACGGCGCAGGTCTCGTCCTCGGGCTGCGCCGGCAGCTCGAAGCCGCGCTCTTGCCCCCACAAGCGGATGCCCTGCTCCGCGAGCGAGTGGAAGAGCAGCGAGACGGCGGCGACGCGAGCGATGTCGGCGGGGCTGTCGCAGCGAGAGATGGCGCGCACGATGAGCTCCGTGGGGAGGTCGAGGAGGCGGGCGGGCGGCGGCGTGTCTGGCGAGGGGGCGGCGGCGGAGGCGGAGGCGAGGCGGCGCGAGCGGCGGCGCGGCGGGGTGGACATCGCGAGGAAAAGAAATAACGTGCACAGGGCCGTCCACACCTCTTAGAATTCTTAACATCAGACATCACGCCAGAGCCGATGGAGGCTGTGCCCGTGGAGGTGGCTCGGTCCGCGCAGCTTCGTCAGCTCGAGAGCACAAGCACCATTCTCGCCGCCGCCGCCCTTTTGTGGGCCTGCTACCGAGCCACACGCTTCATCGTGGAGAGCAGGCGGCGGCGAGCGCTGCTCGCATCGCTGCCGCCGGCCCGAGACGGCGCGATCGCTGTTGCTCACGAATGCTACACAGCGACCGAGTGGCTCACCATCGGTGGCGTATGCTCGCTCGCCGAACTGGTGACGTCGATCGGCGAGCGACGTTACGGGAGCAACGTGGCTGTGGACGCCAGCTTTGTGGACGCGTCGGGGCGTGAGCAAGCCCTACACGGCGGCCTGTCGCTTGATGCACTGAGGGGTGCGCGCCTCTTGCGAATCGTGCAGCGCGATGGTCCGCGTGCGCCGTTCGGCGAGGAGGAGGGCTTGATCTTTGGCGGCGGCCAGAGCCAACGGACTACACCCGCACTCCAGCACGACCCTGAGGACGACGACGACGAGCTGACGCTCATCGGGATGACTCCTGCAGTCGTGCCCATCTCGCCGCTCGTCGAGTGAAGTGCCGCCCGTGACCGTGCGGATGGCGTGTGGGCCTCCTGTCTTCTAGACGTTGAGGCCTGTACGCAGATGCTCATCGCACAATGCTGGCCTCTTGTATCGGCTATATCGGGCGGGCGCGGGGCGGCCACAGGAGTCAGGAGCACCCCAGCCACCAGGGGCTTGCGATTCCGTCGTTCAGCAGCGCAACTCCCTTTTGGTACCTGTGCCGAGCAGACTCTGTGTGTCGGTCAGGAGTCAGGAGATGGGTAGAGGTGTGGGTCTATAGAGGACGCTCGGGGTTTTTGATGAGGCTAGTTCCAATTCACTCTGACACGCTAATCTTGAAAACGCGTCCAACGGAGCTCCGTGTTGCTCCCAGCGCCCTCCCCCGAGCTTCCTGCGGCCATGGCCGGTGCTACTAGTATGGGGGGCTACCTGGCTACCGCGAGCGCGACCCAACTCGTCGACATCGTCCGATGATGGTGCCGCAAAGTCAGCCTCCGGAGGCTATCGTGGGGTCGAGCCGGCAGTAGCCGCGACATGTGGTTCCACCACCCCTCGTAGGCTTTGCCTCTGCTCGCCACCGTTCCCATGCTGCCTAATGGGATGGAAAGGGAGGCTGGGCGAGCGTATAGAAGCGTGCTCGACCTCGTCGTGGCAACCTCTGCACGGCAGCGCTGGCAGGCGCGGTGAGCGCCGTGCCACTTGACCCAAGACGGGTCGCAGGCGTCGTACCGAGCGCGTCGAGACCGTGTCCTGATGTGATCTGCACGGGTGAGTCACGTCGGCGTCAAAGGAGCGACGTGCGACCTGTCAGAGCTTGAATCTCCGATCTCAGCGGCGTCGAGTCATCTCCGGCGCGCGACAAAGGTACATCCACAGGACGCGCAGAGGCAGCTGCGATCG